GAACAAACCAGGCTGGATTCACATCTGGACTCAGGGGCAATTCACAAGCAAACACAAAAATCTCAAGGATTGAGGTTTAGAAGAGGAGCAAGTTGATGTCAAGGAGAAGGAAAGAGGAAGACTCTGCAAGCCTCATTTTAAAGCTTTCCCAGGGTAAGTGGATTAAATGAATCCTGGTTTAGTACTTAATCTACTCCTAGTTCTTTATCACAGTATTCCTCACAGACTGTGGTTCTGTCTAGCCTCAGAGGTTTAGCCAAGAGAATATCCCAAAGGACCTGAAGGATTGAAGGCTGTAGATTGTGGACACATAATCTCTGAAGCAGAAATGCAGCTGGAAATCTTAGGGAGGCCTAGCCCGTGGCTGATCTCTGGGGTATCATTTCATTGGAGTTTCTGTTTCCGAGACACTCTGGAGAGAAGATCAAGGCAGGGATATGTATATGAAATAATAATAAAAAGAAAAATCAGAATGCAAAAGGGCAGCAGTATTTAACACAAAATTTACCACAAAGGGACAACACTATACGTACTAACATGCTGAATAGCTAAACAACACATATAAGCTGTACTAGGTACCACAAACTGAATGGCTTAAAATAGCACACATTTATTAACTCACCAATTTGGTGGGTCAGGAGTCAACTGGATCCTCTACTTAGGGTTTTGCAAGCCACCGTTAAGGTGTCCTCTGGTCTGCACTCACATCTGGAGGCTTGACTGGGGAAAGACTCTATTTCCAAGGTTACTTAGATGATTGACAGAATTCATTTTTTTATGTTGTAGAACTGAGGGAACTGACTTCTTGCTGGCTGTTGGCTGGAGGCTGCTTTCAGCTCCTAGAGGCCACTTAGACAGTTCCTTGCTACATGGACTTCCCCAAAATGGCCACTTATTTCATCAAGCCAGAGATGATGGTCTCTAGTTGCCGGAGGCCGAAACTGCACAGGTCATCCCTGATGGCAAGGCCCAGGGAAGAGACTGCAGTGCAGTCAGAAGAACCCCTGGAAGAATTCTTCTTCTCTACTTTGTCTGTACCTTTTACTCTCACTTCTGCTGTTAGTCTATTCTAGGGTTAATATGAAAACAGAATCGCCCAAAGTCCCCCTCTTCCTCCAAAATGGAATGTACCTAAATATCATGTCCACCCCCTCAATCAGATGTTGTCTAATGAATATTGTAGCAATTAGCAAAATTGGAGACAGTCCGGTATGCATGGGGTCTATAAGAGACCTAGAATTCATTTTCCTTGTATGAGTCTAATTGCCAGTAAGAATACATATTATGCCATAAGCAGAGACAAAAACAAGACTTACTAGTTGTGGAGGACTTTCTCAAAAAGTGTTAGAGAAATATTTGCCTGCTGACCTCAAGCCTGTAAGGCAACTTATGGATTGTTCTGGTCAAAGAATGAGATTGGTAAATGCAGAGACCAAATTCTAGTTGATCCACGTAAAACATTTCCATACGTCATCTATGATAAATGTTGACATTGTTCTTTCTTAGTAAGGGGTTGTGAGAGTCTGTTACCTACAACTGCGGGTACAAGTATATCCTGTTTTTGCATGCCCACTGAATTTAAACAATTAAAGGGCACTGTGATCTCATGTATTCGGGCAATATGCTCCACTTATCCTTAGATACCCCGTCATACGTAGTAAAGAATATGTAAAACTTTGTTATGACTACCTGGTTAAATTTTATTGGTTGAAGTGGAAATCATGTACTGTGAAATCACTGTTGCCAAGAAAACTTAGAAATGTTAAGTTCTATGACTGTACTCAAAAAATGTAAATTGGGGGGGTGCCTGGGTGGCTTAGTCGGTTAAGCGTCCAACTTTCGCTTAGGTCATGATCTTGCGGTTTGTGGGTTAGAGCCCCGCGTCGGGCTCTGTGCTGACTGCCGGCTCAGAGCCTGGAGCCTGTTTCAGTCTGTGACTCCCTCTCTCTCTGACCCTCCCCTGCTCATGCTGTCTCTCTCTCTCTCTCTCCTAGAAATAAATAAAACATTTTAAAAAAATGTAAATTGGTTAAGCATGATTGTTTGAATTTGCTATATAAAAACCCTAAGCTGAAAAATAAACTTGAGCAGTCCACCTGAAGAGGCTGGCTCCGTGTCTTCTTTCGCCGACAGCAAGCATTACTCTCTTGGCCAACCCTGGCTTGCAGAGGCTGGTCCTCTGCATCTAGTGAGAGTCTTTTGTAATGTAAATTAGTCACAGGAGCGACATCCATCACCTGTGCTATTCTTATGGTTTATAAGCAAGTCTCAGATCCCAATAGCGTCTCTGCTGTCTTCTATGCCTTTCTCAAGCCCAGCGATTAATTTTATGACTATTGTTTTAAATTCTTGTTCAGTTATGCTGCTTGTATCTGTTTTGATCAGTTCTTTAGCTGTCACTTCTTCCTGGAATTTCTTTGGAGGAGAGTTCTTCCGTTTTGTCATTTTGGATGGCTTTCTGTCTCTTGCCAGTTTTAAAGTCTTGTTATGTGCTCTGCACCTGCGAGTACTGCTATATTAAAGGGGGCTCATACCCTGTCAAGGGCCTGGCCGTTCAGGAAGTGTTCTTTTAAGGGTGTCCCTTGGTCTTTCTTGTTGTGCCTTTCGTTATTTTATTTCCCTACTCGTAGTGATGTTTTGGACTCTCCCCCATGTGTGCGTTGGTTTGTTCCTTGAAGTAACCCTATGAGGCTGTCTTCCTAGCAGACTTCATCTCCTTTCCTCCCAGACTCTTGGGGTTCAGAGTCTTTTGGCTTCAGCCCTTCTTTGTTTGAGAGATGGGGGCAGGAAGTAGAATCCCTCTATTTCTCCACCATCTTGGCCTCCCTTTTTTGCAAGTCACAGGTCCCAACTGCACTCAAAAGGAGGGGATCCCACAAACGTGTGAACACCGGGAGGTGCTGAGAATCATGGAGCGACCTTAGTGTCTGTCATATAAGCATATCTTTGCTGCTTCTGAGTTTTTAAATTAAAAATAACCCTGAATATAATCCTTAAAAAATGTGATGTGCAGGGGCGCCTGGGTGGCTTAGTCGGTTAAGCGTCCGACTTTCGCTTAGGTCATGATCTCGCAGTTCGTGGGTTCGGGCCCCACGTTGGGCTCTGTGCTGACTGCCAGCTCGGAGCCTGGAGCCTGTTTCCGAGTCTGTGACTCCCTCTCTCTCTGACCCTCTCCTGCTCACGCTGTCTCTCTCTCTCCTAGAAATAAATAAAACATTAAAAAATTTTTTAAAAAATGTGATGTGCAACACTAACAAGTGAAGTCTAAACCCAGAGTACATCTGGTATCAAAGCTTGTGACCCTCTCATTTCCCTGCCCATATTTCAAATATATAAACATATTTGAAACCATGGACTAGATCCAGTTCAAACTATTATTTCAACATTTCTGAGTAAATCTCTACAATGAAGAATAAGAGCAGAGGCTCTTTGCAGTAGACTGCTTTCTAACTATGTATACTGTGTAGGAATATGGGTATTTTTTGACCCTCAGTTTCAGCACAATTAAAGGAGCTTAATGTTACAGTTTATATTAATTACTTTTGCGATTACTCTGAGGACTAGAAGAGACATTGATTATTCAGCAAATGTTTGTTTCTGGAATCACTGTCCCCAACGTGGTCATACAAAGTGCAAGTGAGGGTGCTGAGAGAAGGAACAAGAAATCCCTATGTAAGTTATGTGTTTCACTGGCCGCTCACAGACCACCCTATGGTTTGATCACCAACACAAAACGAAACTTCACTAATTTCATAGGACGAAAAATACATTTGAGCTTTGCTTTAAATTGCATGTATTTGGCTTAGTACTGATTGGAACTTTTTTTTTAAATCATCTGTATTTTTATTTATTTTTTTAATTTTTATTTTTTACATTTTTATTTATTTCTAGGAGAGAGAGAGAGAGAGAGAGAGACAGCGTGAGCAGGGGAGGGTCAGAGACAGAGGGAGATACAGACTCTGAAATAGGCTCCAGGCTCTGAGCTGGCAGTCAGCACAGAGCCCGACGCGGGGCTCGAACCCACGAACCGCGAGATCATGACCTAAGCGAAAGTCGGATGCTTAACCGACTAAGCCACCCAGGCGCCCCAATCATCTGTATTTTTAAATTGTTCCTTCTATGGTTGTCTATGCTCTTCACCCATTTGCTTTTTTTTTTTTTTTTTTAAGATGCCCACTTATTTGAATCAAGAAGCTAACCTTCTTGGGCACCTGGGTGGCTCAGTCAGACGAGTGTTGGGCTCGGCGCTGACATGTGATAGCATGGAGCGTGCTTGGGATTGTCTCTCTCCCTCTCTCTCTCTCTCTGGCCCTCCTCAACCTGCACACTCTTTCTCTTAAAATAAACTTAATTTTATTTAAAAAAATTTTTGATGTTATTTACTTTTGAGAGACAGAGGACAAGTGGGGGAGGGGCAGAGAGAGAAAGAGACAAAATCTGAAGCAGGTTCCAGGCTCTGAGCTGTCAGCACAGAGCCGGATGCAGGGCACGAACCCACAACCCCGTGAGATCTTCACCTGAGCGGGTGACATCCTGACCTGAGCCCAAGTCGGATACTTAACCCAGGCGCCCCAAAGTAAACTTAATTTTAAAAAAAGAAGTTAACCTTTCTCTGTCCTATAGACCCCAAATTTCCAACCCCACTGTGGTCATTTATTTCATTTTGTTTGTGGTGCGGGGGTGGGGCGTGCGGGAGGGACAGGGCACACAAACCGCTGCTTTTCATTCCAGTAGTCCATTCCATCTGCCTAGCAGAACAGCGAAAGCTAGGTTTATTTTCTAACCGTGATCAGCGTCCACTTGCGGAAACCGGTCTTTGCAAACTTCGGTCCGCAGCGGCCGCCGGGTTGATCAGCAGTCCGGCGAGCCGGCGGCCGCGCCGCCCCCGCCCTCCCCCTGCGCCCCGGGGCGCGCGCCCGTGCCCGGCCCCCGCCCGCGCCGCCGCGCCGCCCGGGAGTGGGCTGCGGTCACTGCGCGTCTCGGCGCGGGGCGGGCGGCGGCCGGGTGGGCGGCGAGGAGCGCGCCCGCTGGGCGCTCGGGGCTTCGGCGCCTGCCGGCCGGGCCCCGCGCGCTCGCCTGGGAAACTTCTGCGGGCGCGAGGCCGGAGCTCGGCGCAGGGCCGGGGAAGGAAAGGTAAGGAGGGGAGCCCCGGGGCGCCTCGGCTGCCGCCTTCCGGGAGCTGTCCGCACCCTCGCACCTATGGCGCTTCGCTGCAACTTTGCCGGCGCGGCTTCCACCCCGGCTCCGCCCCGGGGTGTGGGCTGTGAGGCCGCCGACCCTCGCGAGCGCTTTGGCTTCGCCGCCGTGTGCTCCGCGCCGCCCCCCCGCGCCCGGCCCGGCCCGGGCCAGTTCGAGCCTCGGAGTCCGGGCGGCGCCGCTCGCGGCTCCGCAGGCTGACGGTCCGCTGCTGCGGGCTCTGCGCGCGCGGGTCCCCGGGAACGCCTGTCGTCCGCCCTGGAGGCGGATCTCTCCCCCAGCTCTGTTGGCCCCACTCTTCCACCAGGCACCTTGGAGCCCAAGGAAAGAGACCGGATTTCCAAGGGCGAAAAGCTGGTCCAAGGGGCTCGTGACAGTCTTCGGCTTCACCTTGGGGAAGTCGTGCAGCGGTAGGGAGTCCCCTTCTCTCGTCTTCAAAGGGCCCGACTAGGGTCAGTGTTTTCACACTGAATTGGGAACACTAGAAGACTGCCTAGTCAAAGGTCACGCTGACCTATTTTCTCTATTTGGGGATTCTCCTTGCCAAAAAAAAAAAAAAAAAAAGTGGGGTGGGGGGAGAAGCAGAAACCCACTAAATTACCCCATCACCAAGGTTGCTTACAGAGGTGTAATACATTTTGAGGGTCTGTATATAATCTTTAGAAAAAGATTAAAAGCACAGTAATGAGAGTATGGCAAAAAAAAAATTTTTTTTTTTTTTTGGTTTTGGCCAGTAGACATTTGCAAGAAGTGAAAAAGTTCTACATGTGAATAATGAATGGAAAAGTAGAATTAGAAGCCCACTTTTGAACATAATTTAATTTGATTTTAGTGAGCAGCAAACGGGGGGGGACAGTCTCCCTTCCCCACTTTTTATTCTAACTCTTGTAGATAGGTATTTTGAATTTGCAAGCTTGGACACAGCAATTGCATTTTATGGCAGCCTTGAAAAATTCTTGGTCTCTGCTTATACTAAGGTTTGGTGGTGGCTGTTTTCTGTTACCAGGGACTGTTGCATGGTCATGTCCCTTGGATGACAGTATGCTACAGTAACTTGGCATTGTTCTTTGTGGCAAAAGAAAACCAAACAAGAGCTACATGAAACAAGATATAAACAAAATGAAAAGTGGCTCTCTTTCCACATGTGCAAAATGAAGAGGTCTGGCTGATCCCAGATGATCTTTAAGGCTTTCCTCCCCTGAAGACTGGAGAGTCTAGGATGCAAATACAAATTGAAATCTAGAGTAAGACAGTTTTCTGTCCTAAAATTTCATACATATAAACTGGGAGACACTGGATAGTTGAATTTCTTTAATCTCCACGGTGTCTCAAAATAGCTGAATCATTGTGCATCCTGTGCTTCTAAATGGTGACATTCTATGCCATTAAATAAAAATGTGTCATGGAAAACCAAACTCCCATGCTTCTTACTGCAAGACTGACTAATAGCACTGACCCACTGGGGCATTCACATCTGCTTATCTTGAAATACTCAAACTCAAGAATGGCTGGGATGGTTAGGAAATGTTTGCTGTAATGTATGAGTGTAACAACACGTAAGCAACATGGCAGGCAAGAAGTTTCAAAACTGCTTTGGAAAATAGCCATGCTAGATCTGCAAGTGTGCAGATTGCCGTTGAAATTGTTTTTTCCAATTATAGTTGTTGGTCAACTGGGATTATGAGTTACACAGAGTAAGAATTTACAGTAGTCTATTGAATCATTAATTTGACTTTTTAAAGGAAAAGGGGAAAGGTTTCTCTCTTTTATCTAAGTGGCCATAGGTAAATGTCTTAAAGTGAACATTATAACAGGTATTTTTAAAAATTAAATAAATAACCAAAAGTTGCTGACTTAAATCCCCTGCAACAATGTTGAATCCTCCTCCAAACCTAAGAATACAGGGATTCATTCAATAGACCCAAATTGAGAACTTCTCACTTTGTGTTCTTCAACAGAATCCTAACCTCTGGTGACTTATACACACTATGAAATTGGTTCCAGAGAGACAATCACTGGTTGAGCTTATGCAAGAATCTTCATTGCTCTGAGTCTCATTTTTCACTCCAGACAATGCTGATAAAACTACTGAGGTTGCACAGTTGTGACTCCTTAATGGGTCAGTAAATGGAAGACCTAGTGCCTGGCACATAGTAAGAGCACAATTGTCATTTTCTCTGCCTCCCTTAGTAGGTGTCTTGTTTACTGACTGAGCAAACTATAGTATGGATAGTAGCTACAGTTTTCGCTTTTAATTTCAAAAACTCTTTGTAGCAAAATCTTGATAACTGTCAGATCTGAGTAATGGGTATATTGAGATTTATTATATAGTATTTTCTCTGTTTTTAAAAATATTTAAAGTTATTCATCAGAAAAAAATTTAAGTATGGCTCTGGAAGAAATACATGAAATACATTTCTAATCTTGCATTTCATTTTAAATTGCAATTTTACAATTATTTTGTATGGACTGCAGGGGTAAACACATTATATATAAGGAATGAGTGGGTGGAGAATGGTACTTGAGAACAGCCATGATGATCTTCAGTTTTTCATGACATTTTTTTAATTATAAAAAAGATTTTTTAAAAGAGAGTGATGTTTGTTAATTCTGGTTGTTGGGCTTGTGGATTTTAACTATTTGGGATTTTTGTATTTAATAAAATCAACTTATTGTTTTAGAAAATTGTTATGAAGAATGAAAACAATCCAGATATATACAAAGACAAAAGTATAGTAGTATCCCACCATCTAGAAATCATCATCTTTGACATTAAGATGGTTCAATGTCTTTATTTGCATTTATACAAATGGAAGGATATAGATCATGTATTAATTAATACATATGTATTAATGTTATGTGCTACTCCAAGGACACACATAATTTCTAGGGTTTGTTTGCCTGTTTGTTTGTTTTCAATCTTTGATGGACATTCTAAAGAACAAGCTTGTTTGCATTTGATTTTTAAGACTGTAGACTCCTACAATGTAGTACAATACTTATTTAAAAATTTAGTATGCAACAACTAACTTTAAGTGAATTTTAAGTAGCCTAAGTTTATTTGCATAGAAGAGGTATTTTTTAGGTATTTAAAATAGATCTTATAATTCAAAGTAGGCTTAAATTGTAGCAACATTTGAGTTTCACTAAAATGCAAGCTCTAGGAGAGCAGGGATTTATTGAATTTTTGCATATAATAATATTTTCCTGGCCATTTGAAAGTTGATGACACAATTATGTTATAATGTTTGTTTTGAAAATAAGCCTCATGTCAATGCAATTTAAATCATAGGGAGCAATTTGAGCATAACACACATTTTGTGCTTGCTCATGCATCATTTACTCAGCCCGAACACCAGATGGACACATTAAGCTATAACCAGTTTACCTAAGCCGGGAGTCCACAAAACACAAATACACATACACCTGAAACATCTTCCAGCTACCGTGGTTCACCACACATTATCCTGCAAGATTGTGTTTTGCTATTCTTTGGCACCCGTGAACTTTTCTGTATAAAACACACTCCTTTAGCATCTCAAGAATGTCTAAGCATCTTGATTCAAAGTGTCAAATAGTGCATGCAAGAAGAAAGCTTCAATATTGAAGAGAAACTTGAAATAATCAAAAATTCTGAAAGCATCAAGAGAATTTGTGTATTTCCTGAGCAGCAGGCATAAGAGAATAATCCACATTGCTTATCCACAGGCAGTGCCACAAAAGTAGAAGAAACCTCTGTGGTTGGAATAACTTCAAGTATTACAAAGCCAATAACAAGGTTGAAAGAAAGAGAAGAAGTGGAAAGATTGTAGACCATGTGGATTAAGAACCAAGCAGGGAACAGTCTCCCACAGTCAGAGAGAAAGCTCCTATCTCCATGTAAACACCTTGAAAGGAAATCACCAGACCCTGCACAAGTGCTCCTTTTCACACTAGTAGTGGCTGGTTTGGTTTCAAACTTCACTGACCCTGGTGTGTGGTCCACCTGGTTATTTAACCAGAAAAATTGAAAAAGAAAAGACTATAGCCATTTAGCTAGACCACATGAACTTGATAGGTGTGTTTGCCAGGAAGAAACATGAGGACCTGAACTAAATAAACGTAGGAAAAGTGAGTTCGTTTGCATATAGGTCACTTGGAATAAAGGGAAGGGGAAGTGTCTACCTTTGATTCATATCAAGAGGAGACTGTTTCATGGATCCATGGGTCCAGCTTGCCTTGCATTTTTCATCAGGAATCTCTGGTGCACTACTGCATGACCTGATAGCAGCTGCTCAAAAGGGAATGGCGGGCTCATGCCATTTCTAGCTTATGGAGAAATCAAAAACTTGAAGCAGAGCATGGAGATTGTTTTTTTAATGTTTATTTATTTTGAGAAAAATAGTAGTGTGAGCAGGGCAGGGGTGGAGAGTGGGGGAGAGAGAATCCCAAGCAGGCTCTGTCCTGTCAGCATGGAGCCCGATCCAGGGTTTGATCTCACAAACCAAGAAATCATGACCTGAGCTGACATCAAGAGTTAGACGCCTAACTGACTGAACCACCCATGCGCCCTGGGGATTGTTTATTAAAAGCAACCAATGACATACTAGAGAAGAAGAGGTTTACTGAGGTTTCTTCAAATCAAGAATTACAGGACACAGTGATTTAACATAGGACCCACCTTCCTACCCCTGCGTTGCTCAAAAATTGTAATTTCTTAAGAAGACATTTAAGTTTATTGAATCTAGAACAGAAGGGAGAAACCAAGAATGTTTGATTTGTTCCAGTAAGTCCAAATACTTAGATTTCAAACTGTACATGAGGCAGAGTGTCATAGTGGCTGAAAGAGCAGATGGCTGTATTATTTGTATCTGTCTGCCTGGGAGTGAATCTGGGCTACATCATTTGTGTATCCTTACGCAACTTACTTAACTTCCCTGTACCGCAGTTTTCTCATCAGTAAAATGGGAACAATAAAACTATATACTTCAGAAAGTCGTGAGGATTCAATGACATATTTTAAAATTCTCAGAACTGTGCCTGGCACATAGTGAGTGTTTCATTAACTGTTAGATGTTGGTGGTAGTGGTGGTGATAGTAGTAGTAAGAGTAGTAAATGAGGTTAAAGAAGATGGCAACTAGATACTACATTAATTTCCCATTGCTCAACTCATCTGAACATGGTGGAGTCACACAATTAGAAGAATTACAGAGCTTTTTGAGTGTCTGAAGTCTGTCTTTTGAGTGTTATCTCCAGATGTGTCTGAGACTTCAAGTATTGGCCCTGTCCGTAGACATCAAGTATTTGCTCTATAGGTATGGTTCAGTTTTACCAAGAACTAAGCTGGAATTCACCCAAGGAAACATGGTATTCCAGGAATTCTGGAGATTGTTTATGAATGACATAGCCATAAATTGCCCATGTGACCAGAATGCTTAATAGTGTTTGGGTTATCTGATTCCATGAAAGGAGAACCTATAATGTAGTTCTGGGAACAACAGTGAATTTAAACGTAATTCCCAGGGCCTCTCTTAGTGTCTTGTTTTCCACACACTATTCTTCAAAAGTATTCTTATATGATTTTCCAGACTTAAAATTTTTTTAATGTTTTATTTATTTCAGAGAGATTGAGAGAGAGACAGCATGAGCAGGGGAGGGTCAGAGAGAGAGGGAGATACAGACTCTGAAACAGGTTCCAGGCTCTGAGCAAGCTGTCAGCACAGAGCCCGATGCAGGGCTCGAACCCATAAACCATGAGATCATGACTTGAGCCCAAGTTGGAGGCTTAACCAACTGAGCCACCCAAGCGCCCCCTAGTTTTCCAGAATTGCAAGGATTGAATGTCTTCCGCTCCATTGATCTGTATTCCAACTCCATCACAAAAGGTAGATTATCAGAATAACGAAAAGCCTTGTGCATAGTGAATTCATGAGTGTGTATGTGTTTCTTCATTTTCTGTTTTGAAACAAAGTACCACAAACTAGTGGCTGAAAACACCACAACTCCATTATCGCACAGTTTGGGTTTTTTAAAAGATTTTATTGTTTTTTAATTTTTTTAATGTTTATTTTTGAGAGAGAAAGAGAGAGACAGAATGCATGCAGGAGAGGGGCAGAGAGAAAGAGACAGAATCCGAGGCAGGCTCCAAGCTCTGAACTGTCAGCAAAGAGACCGATGCAGGGCTCGAACCCACGAACTGCAAGACCATGACCTGAGGCAAAGTCAGATGCTTACCTGACTGAGCCACCCAGGTGCCCCATATCACAGTTTTTGCAGGTCAGGGGTCCAGGCATGGCTGAACTGGATCCTCTGTCCAGAGCATTTAAAGCCTGCAATCCAGGTGTCAGGCACACTGCATTCCTCATTTGGAGTCCAGGGTCCTCTTCCAAGCTTTTCAAATGGTTGGCAGAATTCAGCCCCTTGTGGTTGTAGGACTGATACACCCATTATCTTGGTAACTGTTAGTTGGGGACTTCTTTAGCTTACAGAGACTGCCAACCATTCCCTGGCTTCTTGCCCCCACAAGCAGTCCACAGCATTGTGTTTGCTTTCTTCCAGGCCAGTAGAAACACAGCTCTCTAATTTTCAATCCTTCTCCAGTTCTGCAGTCTTATGTAACTTAATATAATCACAAGTGACTATTCCAGCACCATTTGGATATCATTTTGCCTAATCAAGAAAGCATCTGTCCTGTCCCATTCATAGGTTCTGCTACACTCAAGGAGAAAGGATTATAGCATGTGTACACCAATGAAGTAGGAATCTTGGGCGCCATCTTGCAATTCTTCTTACGTGATAAAGTGAGAAATCAGACACAGCTGGAGGTAATCAATGGACTTTAGCTAAGACATGAGAATCAGAGAAGTCCAGCATAGCCTGTAGGCACGTTCTCTCATTTTCTCAGGTCTCAAGACAAGCCAACCTCTCATTGGTATGGAAGGTCGAAGGCATACTCTAGCCTAAGGAGCCTAATGGTGCACGAAGAAACTCATATGTTATATGGAAGCAAATGCTGGTATGGACCCTATGACATCCAGAAGGCCACAATTCAATCTCCACTACAAAATTTATGAGATTATCTGTCTGAGATTTCCAATGAAAAATGAAACTGTGATAAAATTGCTTGGGAAAGTGTAATTCTCCTAAGGCAAAAGGAAAAAGTAGTGACTTCCTTGGTAGGATAAAGAGGCCAGGAGCTATAGTGGGGTTGGCCACCTATGTAGGCAGAAACCAGATGGTGATATCTATGTCATGGGTAACATCTGATGACTGTAGCATATGAATATTGTAGCCAATATCATTTACATTTATATCAACTCTCTGTTCTTAATCTTAGATAATTCTTCCATATTTATACACTTATACATTATACATATGCACTGTTTGCACAGTGTCATGCCAAATCTTTTTCATTTCCTTTCTCTGTTACGTGATAGGCTCTAGACCAGCGCTGTCCAAGAGAAATATAATGTGAACCGCATATGTATTTAAAATTTTCTTTTTTTTATGTTTGTTTGTTTTTTTGTTTTGAGAGAAAGAGATAGAAGATGCATGCATGCAAGCATGGGAAGGGCAGAGAGAGAGAGGGAGAGAGAATCCCAAGCATGCTCCACACTATCAGAACAGAGCCTGATGTGCATCTCACACCCACAAACCATGAGATCATGATCTGAGCCAAAATCAAGAGTGGGATGCTTAACCAATTGAGCCATGCAGGCATCTCATAATATTAAGTTTTCTAGTAGCAACATTAAAAAATAAGACAAGGGCAAAATTAACTTTGATGTTTCATTTAACCCATTTCTAAAACATTATTATTTCACCATATAAGTAGTATAAAAGTTAATAATGACATATTCTTTCTCTTTGTTCTAAGTCTTTGAAATCCATTGACACATTTCAATTCAGACCAGCCAGTGTGACTAACAGCACATATTGGACAGCACACCTCTAGAGTTCTAAAGCCTCTGATCATGGGCATTTGATTTCAACTCTCAATTCTCTCTGCACTCACTTTCTAGAAAATCTTGCCAACCCCAGTCTTTCCTAAGTATTTTTCTGCATCATAGTAACTGCTAAAGATCCCTCCATCCTCCCCTTATCTTCTACTGTGAACTATGTTGCTAGACCAAGAGTATTAGGTTATTTGAGCGTAAAACTGTGTTCCCTTATCCTCTGATTTCTTTCTGAACTTTGGGATCTTTTTCAATTCCAGAGGGTCTTCAACCCTTCTTTGTTCCTCTATCCCAATAGAAACACTTCTTCCTTTCACTTCTTCCTCATAGTATAATATATGCTTTCCTGTCTTTATAGTCCAACAAGTAAATCAATGATTCAGGTATTGGTTAGATCTCACCTAGGCTTCCTGTTTGTTCCCAAACTGTATTCTGAACACTGCTTTTATACCCAAGCATTGTTATCCTTATCAGTCCATGAACCATATAACATAATATGTGAACATTTATTGAGGACTTACTGTGTTCTAAACAGAGGCGAACTCCATATATATTTACACACACACACACACACACACACACACACACACACACTAACCAAACACTAAAGCTGATATTTTAAAATATTCGGAGCGTCTGGGTAGCCAGTTAAGTGTCCATCTGACTCTTGATTTTGGCTTAGGTCACATTCTCTCAGTTTGTGAGTTCAAGCTGTGCGTTGTCAGCACAGAGCCTACTTAGGATTCTCTCCATCTCCCTCTTTCTCTGCCCCTCCCCTGTCATGCTAGTGCACACACTCTCTCAAAATAAATAAACTTAAATAAATTAATAAAATACTATGTTCACTTCTTTTATAAAATTACTTGATTATGTTCCCCCACTAAAAGAATAAATAAATTATGATGCCTTAAAAAGGAAATACATATAATGGTCAATATAACATAATATGTGATGGAAACCACACATAAAAATTCAGAGCTAGAAGGTGTGCTTCACGTCACCCTGTTAAGGAAGGGCTGCTGTAAACTACCCAACAGCCTTGAGCCCTCTTGGAATGATGAGTGCTGAGGAAGGAAAATGCCTTCTCACCTGGGCAAAGCATGGAAATGGGAACACAGAAGGAGAAAATGTGTCTTTCCAGCAAATTAAAATTAGATCCTTTACTCTACAGAATGTCCTGGTGTCTCTCGCTCAGCCCCCTGATAGTTCTTCACCCTGGATGCACATCAGAAGATGCCAGTGTCTGGGCCCCAGCACAGGCTGTAAGTAATTAAGTAAGCAATTTCTAGAGTGGGGCCCCTATCATAAACCTGGTGTTAAGACCTGCAGTCTTAATTCAGTTCTACCACGCAGCTCTATATTTTAACTCATGCTAGGAAAAGTCTTCTATTCCTCATCATATAGAGTCATGTTATTTTAGAGCTAAATGGACCTCACATTATTTTGTCCAACTCTTTCCTTTTACCAATGAGAAAACAGGTCTAGTAAGATTATAATCATACAGCTATTTAGGGGCACAGGTAAGACTAGAACCTTTCTTTTAAGTAACAATGCTAACTGAACAGACTAGACACAGAATGGTGCACTGATACCAGCACTACCACCCTGGGCAGACAGTGAAGGATCAGAAACACACAGAGTAATCAGCACAGAAGGACAGCCAGGAATGAACAATGCTGAGGTCGTGCAAACAAGCAAGGATAATTCAGAAATCATTTAGGAACAATGTAGAATAATGGCTCTCAAACCTTAGTGTGCATAAGAATCAACTGGGAGCTTGTTAGAAAGGTGTCTTCCTGGGTCCCTTCCCAGCTCAGTAATTTTGGTGTGGGGGCCAGGGAAGGGACAGTCTACCAAGCTACCCAGGTGATTCTGATGTAAGTGATTTGAGGATACCTGCTGGGAAGCACTAAACACAAATCAATCGGAGGTAGAAGACTATTGTTGGATTCCAGAGACTGGCTTCTTGGCCATTGGGGAGAGTAAAGACTCAAGGATGTGTTGGTTATGGGTCTATATCTACCAGCAGTAGGTGGTCAGGACACAGATAGGGAAGAATAACAGAGATCACCCCTGCAGGAATGAGTAAATTTGAAATTTAAAATTTAAAGTTGGGTAGTGGCCAAAAGTAACACTTGTATTTCTGTGTTCAATTGTAACCCTCTGGGTGAAAGAAAGCTTTTAAAAACTATATTCTCTGACTGGCTCAGCTCTGTAAAATATAAGCAACAAGTACAGTGATTCATCTCTATATTATTTTAAAATTTGCCACGAAGTTTTAATATAGATTTTCTCATTTGAATCTTCTAGCACCTTTCAGAGTGGCCAGAATAGGTGATATTACCTCCGTTTTACTAGTGAATAAACATTGCCTGATTTCATCTAGGTGGCAAGGAGGAAACTAATGCCTGTTATTTCTAAATCCTGGTGCTGTGAAAGCCGAAGAATAAATGTGGTTTAGACTGTGAGCTTCAGAATCCGGCAGAACTGGGTGGAATTTTAATACCAATGTTAACAGTGTGACCTTGAACAATTGACTTACCTTCTCTGAGTCTTAATTTCCTCATCTGTGAGATCAAAATATAGTACCTTTCTCATGGGCTGTTGTGAAGATTAGATAATTTTTTAACTATGTCTGGCAGATAGGTCCTGAGTAAGTGTACCTCCTTGAGGAGTAGAGAAAACCAGCTTTAGGTAAATTCTTATTTTGCATATGAAACACATACCAAAGTTAGGACCTATTCCAATTAATTGGTAGAATATTGATGGAATTTTTATCTTCTGGGTTGCCTAGCAACCAACACTAACTCAATAGCACTAGCTATGAGAGTTGTTGTTTTTAATCAGATTAAGAATTCAGCTGCTCTTAAGGAACTCAATTTGTATGAAGACAAAAGGATTCCCCTATGAATTTGGAGCTGTGCCAAACATTTAAATAAGTAGTGTCCCAATTCCTTAGTGATTCTGTACTGAACTATCTTGGATGTTGAGATCCTCCCTACTTCTTTTACCCTGGGTGGCAGAAGATGTTAGAACATCCATTAAATTGGATAGAGAGAACGGAGAAGGCAGAGTCCTTGCACCTTGATACCAGTGTATTCAACCAACATTCATTGAGTGCCAGGGGTCAGGAATACAAAAACATTTGTCTTTGTCCCTTAAGAATTTCAGAGTCTAGGAGAGCGGTCAGGCAATGTTGAATAATAATAGAGCAAATCATTTCATGAGTGGCTTTCTACATCTGTTTCCCTGGCTGTACTCTAAGCATTATGGATTGAGCAGTGCAAGTGGATATGACAGGTCTTAAATATTCACTGTTAGGATTATTATTTTCCTGGCAAACCAGCCCTGATGGAATATCCCACTGTCTCCCAACACATTCATGTCAGATTCACAGCCTTAAAAGGCGGCACTTCCTGGTGGAGAGAGCATGGAGCTGAGTGGAGAGGGTCTTCTCCCTCACTGCTGTGACTCACTGCCTCTTTTACCTGAAGCCAGTTACTAAGACACTCCTGTGGCCTGCTTTACTTATCTGTAAGCAGGGCATAATGATTTAGATTCTTGTGGCAACAAGTGTGATGCAATGAGATAATAAATGTACAAGTTCTGAACAGATACATGCAATTTCTGAGCCAGTCTTAATCACTTGGCACCAAGCTTACATCACATTTCATGCAGCATTTAAATTTTTTTAAATTTCCTTTAAATTTCCTTATTCCTTTATAACTCAGGGTCATTTGATTTAAAGAGTAGAAAAGTGGGAGCTTGGAATTATTGTGTTTATTTGCACTTGATTTTGGCTCCATCATTTTGTATGTCCGTGTGCTGACTTCTTTTGCAGGGAAGATAGGCTTTTTTTTTTTTTCCCCCTGAGAAATCCATTGGGCCACTCTGGCGTTTCGGCATTTATTTACCCAAAAACATGACTTAAGGCCTACAGGCTTTCAAGCAGGCAGCTGGCTGATGAATCATGTTCAGCGTTCCTATAGTGCTGCTGGCACATGTCAGAGGAACACTCATGCCCATCACCTGCCCCTGTCAGTTCTTTCTCTTCTAATAAAATACATCTGTTTTGGTGACTGAATAAAAACACCATGTGGAGAAAGGCTGGGTGTGGAGTAATTTAATCAGGGCAAGTCAGCACTCTGAGTTGAGTGATACAGTATCAAGGACAGGAAGGTGATTTGGTAGCGGCTTATGGAAACAGGAGCTGCTGGAAAGGGCCGGAAGCGCAGTTCTTGTGATCATAATGGGTCACAGTCCTGGAATGCAGGTGGCCCAATCTATCCCACAAGTCAGGGTCTTCAGGGCACAAGATTCCCATAAGCTCCTTTCAGAATCGCCACAAAGGTTTTGTATGGCCTTTCTCTATTAGCATCATTTTAACATTTTTGCTGAAGATTATAAATTTTTAAGGAAGTTCAAACCAAAGTTCAGAGCTCTGCCAGCAGTGCTTTTTAACATTGGCTTTAGTGGCTACGTTTGGTATCCTGAGGAACTGATTAATTTAAAATACCCTCATTTTAAAAGTAAAACAGCGGGGAGACTGACATTTGCAGTCTGGTGTTTTGCCGTTCTCACTGCTCATTGTATTTAAAAATTTGTTTTCTTTGTTGTGAATATCCAGTAGTGTGTATAATTTTGTGTTGTGTTAAAAGAGGAGACATTAAACATGCCCAGGGTGCTGGTCTGCCCCAAGCCTCATCATCTCACAGAGTGATGGGGGAGGCAGTAATTAGGGGCCATGGGATGTTTAAAGTGCCTTGGAAAGTAGCTTAAGTCAAAATAACAATGTAAGTTATAGGTCTTTTTTTTTTTTTTTTTTAATGATTCGCCTGGCAGTATTCCTAAAGTCATTATTTGCTGAGAAAAGAATCACTGTCCAAGATGAAAAACCAACAGCAACTCCTTTGTTTCCATCTCCAGTGCTGTTGGTGATCAAACTGTTCCCTTTTTTACTTCAGCTAAGTCATTTTTACGTCTCTTTTTTTCTATGAGACAAGATCTGTGATATCTGATATTTTATTAACAGGTGTTCTAGAGATAATCTAGCTCAAAAATAAAAGCACCAAAGATAGCATTCAAGTTCAAGGCTTCTGAATGTTATTATGGTTTAAAAATCCAATCTCATGAATGCTTCACACTGAAACTATTTATTGTTAAGAAACCTGGTGGTAAATGATATGTATCCTATAGCTCTATCATCCTGGTTAAATCTCTCCTGACTCAGATCACACATTAGCATTCTTACCATATGGCTCAAAGGGTAGAGAATATATGCACAGAGGAACAAGTTGGTAACATTTTTTGACCATCTGGTAAATAAATGTGTAAGTAGCAGGAATTTTAATATTTATTTAGTTGCATGGATACAACCTTTAACCTAAGAGAGGCTCTAACACAGTAAAGAAGAACTGAATTTACATTTCTCAGATATTTTTGATATAATTCAGTAAACATATTCATAGTCTACTATTATGCTCTTAAAAATCCAACACCTAGTCATGTGTTTCTTATGTTTATTGTTTTATCAGGACTCCTTACAGTGCCTAATTTAAAATATTTTTCATGAGAGGCCACGTGTTTGGATCCAGCATACAGGCTTAAGTGCTGAAGTTCTGCTCTACCCTGACCACTGTGTGACCTGGGATAAATTACTTGACCTCTCTGAGCCTTGAATTCTTCATCTGTAAAGAGAAAATAACATTGTCAAACAGTTATCTCTCAAAGGGTGGACCATGAAATGCCGTGTTTTTGATACATCAAAATCATGTGGGGGGCACTGTCCAAATACCAACACATAGGCCTCACTCTCAGAGATTCTGACCCAATATGCCTGGAAACAGCCTATGAATCTGCATTTTTAGTCACTGTTACAAGTGATTCTGAGGTACACTGAGCTATTATTATGAAGACTCGTTGATTATAGCACCTACTTTTCTAGGAAAATATGTAGTTAGCAAATTCTAACAAATACTAAAATTCTGTAAATAATTTGTTATTATTATTATTAAGCATAACCCTAAAAATACACATTTTATATCTTAAAAACTTAACACTTGACAGCATTTGTGCTTAAAATATTCTAACTTCATAGAAAATAGTATGTCAGTTTGATTAAGTAATGCTGGCGATTCATGAAATATACCTCTCAATTTTTCTTGTTTAATTAGATCCTTCTTTTTTTCTTGTCCAGGAAACCACAAAACATTTGTGGACTAGATCTAAATCAGGAGCCCAAATGAACTTAAAGAAGCTAGCATGGGATTTTTAGTTTCTCAAGACCCATACACGCAAAACCCTTAATTACTACAACTCTATCGTCCAGGCTTTAGCGGGTTTTCTAAAGACTTTGCGAAACTCTGATGATGGAAAAGTGAAGGACTTGCTTCGATATCATTCAACCTCAACGGAAAAGCGACCAGACCACAGTCAGCCATGGAAAGAAATTCAAGCTTATGGAAGAATCTAATAGATGAGCACCCAGTCTGCACCACCTGGAAGGAAGAGGCCGAAGGAGCCATTTATCATCTGGCCAGTATTTTATTTGTTGTAGGTTTCATGGGTGGCAGTGGATTCTTCGGGCTCCTTTACGTCTTCAGTTTGCTGGGTTTGGGTTTTCTCTGCTCGGCCGTCTGGGCTTGGGTCGACGTCTGTGCCGCCGACATTTTTTCCTGGAATTTTGTACTGTTTGTCATCTGCTTCATGCAGTTTGTCCACATTGCCTATCAAGTTCGCAGCATAACCTTTTCTCGCGAATTCCAGCTATTGTACAGCTCCCTTTTCCAGCCTCTGGGGACCTCTTTGCCTGTCTTCAGAACAATTGCTCTGAGCTCTGAAGTGGTTACTTTGGAAAAGGAGCACTGTTACGCCATGCAGGGGAAAACCTCCATTGATAAGCTCTCCCTTCTTGTTTCAGGAAGGTTTGTACTCACTGCTTGCTCCATCTCAGTTATTTCCTGTTAGTTACTAGCTGGTGTTTCTTTCGGCTGCGCTTTTCCATCTCAGCAGAGGATAATATGTAGCACTGTCCATGACATGTATGTGAGTCATGGACATAGGCATTTAGAGTGCATGCTATCCTTTACTTGAAGCAGGATATAATCTAGAGCCTTAATATTTCTTCTTAGAAACCAGATGGACAAATGGGTTTGTCTGCATGTGTTGTTTGTTTCCAAGCTAATAACGGAGGACCAGGAAGAGGATGATGCCAGCTTGAATTAACAGGATACTTATGTTCACATGTAAAGTACTTTAAATAGTCTCTGATAGGGTGCTCTTTTAGGTGACAGAGAACATTTAAGCTTTATAATGATCGATGTTTTTCAGTGAATTCTAGAATTGCCCACTTGTTACAAGCAGGGGGTGCACCATATATATATTTTATATTTATATTTGTACGTAGGTAAATTTTGAAAACAAAGTTTCAGAGAGGAAACAAAAATGTGATGATTCATGTATTTAAAAAGTGTAAACATTTAGTTTACAGAGGCATTTACAATATTATGTGTTCTTCAGTGTTCTACTAAATTTAAAATCTTACTGAGGCCATTGAAATTTTTTTCTGGAACTATACCATATGCACACAAATGGGCCCATGTCATCAAGGTATGCCGTGACACATTTTCTGATGAATTTCACCCAATATTCCCAGAATCCTAACTGTGTGAGGAATATCAGTGCATGAATCTTACAGATTTTGTCACTTACTGTCATATAGAAATTTAATATTCATCCTACAAAATTTTAAAAGCCATAAAGGTTATAAGAGATCTGCTTGTCCCCGATTATGTGCTTGCTTTCTCCTTCTCTCATAAATGATGTCCTTTGTGTTTGGGTAGGATCCGAGTGACAGTTGATGGCGAATTTCTGCATTACATTTTCCCCTTCCAGTTCCTGGATTCTCCTGAATGGGACTCCCTGAGACCCACAGAGGAAGGCATTTTTCAGGTAAGGGAGAAGTAGTCCCCAGAGTGAACGCTGCCCCTTCCAAACAACGTTTGTTTAAACAATGTTTGTTTAAAAACAGGCACACAAACAAAACAGCAGGTGACAGCAATAATTTATACTTAGCTTTGCAGCATATGTGACTTCCCAGTTCTGTTTGGCCCTTGCTGATTACTGTTACTGTACAGGTCCAGCGACAAGAAGAATGGGCATTGTGTAGGACAGAAAGGAGTTTGCGATAGATATTCTTAAATTTTCCTTTGCTCAACTGCATATATGGGGATTAAAATATGATTACTTGAGATTTGACTGCAAACTAAACACTGCCATTTTGACAGTTTAGAAAAACAAGAATTTAAAAGTCTGCCCTATTACAAAGTAAGTGATTCTTAAAATTTTAAGTGCTAATAGATTTCAGTTGTTCTCCAGGGTAAAAAAAAAAAAGAGAGAAAAGAAAAAATGGCACCTTTACTGTCACTACTATGCTACTGTGTCTGGTACTTTTGAAAGGTAATCATTTCAGTGGATGCTACCTATTATGGTGTATTGATACATGTGTATCATACAATACAACATATGTGGTGTATTGATTAATACATGCAACATATGTGTGCGTATACAAATATAAAACAAATACAAATATAAAAAAAAAAATAAAAAACATATGCAAAATTGGTAAATACATTCAGTTTTGTACTGCAGAAACAATTAAAGTTAAATGTCTCAGTTTTGGGGATTGACTTGGAAATACTTCTCTAACATTAGCCCATTTTATTATTTTTTAGTATTAGGTAGCTCTCACTTCAGTAAAAGGCAAAAATATAGATAACCAGATTTTAAAATAGTTAAATTGAAAATGGGCACAACATTGTGATTGTTTGCATTATGAATTATATATATATATACATATATATATATAGCAATGTATATATGTAGTTTCTCTCCATTTTTTCCATATATTATGGGTCTGTGAGCTTTTTTAACCTAAAAAAGGAGCCAGTGAAATTCATTTAAAATTGGGGCAAGAAAGAGGTGGCAGAACTTGTCTTGCTTCTTAATCTTTGTCTTCTTTGTGGCCTTACGTTTTCATAGGTGACCCTCACAGCAGAGACTGATTGTCGGTATGTGTCTTGGAGGAGAAAGAAATTATATTTGCTCTTCGCTCAGCATCGTTACATCTCCCGCCTGTTTTCAGTTTTAATTGGCAGTGACATTGCAGATAAACTCTATGCCTTGAATGACAGAGTATATACAGGGAAGACATACCACTATGATATTCGGTTACCCAACTTCTATCAAATGTCAAGTCCAAAAATACGCAAATCACCCCTGACAGAACATTTCCGGAACTCCAGACCCTATTGTGATAAATGACTTCGAAGTGTGAAGCTTTATAATTATAAAAAAGACTCTCTTCATCATTCCTCAAATGAAATACAGCAAATTGTGCTCACTAATATTTTTATAACTCAAATTCCGAGGCAAGATGCCGCTGCCAGCTGTTTTATTCATCTCAACTTTTGCGTTGTGAATAAAGTTTACAAATTTCTCTGTATTTCTTATTGGAATAAATGGGAGGGAGTGAATAACTCGGGGCAGTTTGTCCTTTTCTGTGTCAGAACTGGGAGAACGAAATTTTGCATTCTTGAATATTTTGTCATACTTATTCAAATCTTATGTCGTGCCATACTGAGTTAGGCACTGCTTCTTAAGCAGCAGCCAGAAAGTACTCACAACATGAGAGTGGGTTGCTACGGTCCATGTCAGTGTTTCCAGAATTCACTTTTTGCTACAACCTCTGATGAAAGCAAGATGTAGTCTTGTGGTGGGCAGCGATTATTTATTTTAAATGTGAAGTTATTTAATATGACTAGAAAGTAGAATAAATGCAAGAGATGAGAATATGTCAATCTTGAAGTCTGCTTTATTGCTACAAATAATTTATCAGCTTCATCTTTACAATACCGTATTTTTAACAAGGCATTTCGTGAAAAGAAAAGCTGCATAATAATTACTAAGTGAAAAGAATACCCATGAACTAATAGTAAAAGTGTTGCATGGTATTTCAATTTCACATGCCTAGCTGAAAGGGCAGGAGTAAGTGGTTTGACTGGATAGTGACGGACTCGTAGTGAATGCTCTACCCACCACACAACATGGGTGTCTTCCAGGGCACATGGGTGGCTCAGTTGGTTGACCTGCTCTTGATTTCAGCTCAGGTTGTGACAGCTCAGGTCATGATCCCAGGGTGTTGGAATCAAACCCTACCTCAAGCTGAGCATGGAGCCTGCTTAAGGTTTTCTCCTCTCTTTGCCTCTGTCCCTCTCCCCTGCTCTCTCTCCCTCTCTCTCTCAAAGTGAAAACAACAACAAAACACACTGGAGTCTGCCTTACAGCAGTCCCTTCAGAGTCAGATTGCTCAGTCACAGATCTGATCCCTATCTTTGGAAAACACATTTTCTGGAGATCATATGCAGGCCATGCTCTTTGGTTGAAAGATAAATCATCATGCATTTAACAAATATGTATTGAGCACCTACAAAGGCTCTAGGTGCTGACCTTGGCACTAGGGATACATGAGGTAACAGAGATTCCATCCCTCATAGAACTTGCATTCTGGGAGTGAGAGGGCCAGATAATAAAATAAAACAGAAAAGCCTAGAGTTAGAAAGAGTGTCATAAAGATAAGTTAGGGAAGGTAGGTGGGAAGGAGCACTGTAATTTTAATAGGATGGTCAAAGAAGCCCTGAATGAGAAAGTAATATTTGACCAAAGATCTGAAAAAAGCAGAGGAACAATCCTTGCAGACAACCGGGGAACAAGCAGTCCAGGGGGAACAGACAGAAGAGCAAATGAGGAGGCCTTTAAACATGACCAGGGGCAGCTAGATGGCCTGGATGGCTACCACGGAATGAATACTAGGGAGACAAGGCAAAGAGGTAATTTTGGGCAGATTTGTGGAGGCTAATAAGTCACAGTAGGGACTTTGACTTTTATTCTGAGAGTGACCAGAAGTCACTGGGGAGTTCTAATTAGAAAGGTGGTGTGATCTGCCCTATTCAATAGAATTACACTGGGTAGCCTAGTGAGACTAGACTGGGGGAAAAAGGGACAAGAGTGGACTTGAAAGGGAGATCAAGGTTAAGTGCAAGATGCCTACTATGAGACACAGAAGTAAAATAAATAGCTGGATGAGTCTAGAATTCTAAAGAAAGGTGTGGGCTAGAGATAAAGATTTGGGAGTACGTCACTTACAGATGATATTTAAAGCCATGAGACTGGATGAGGTGGCCAAGAGACTAAGTGTAGATTCAGAAGAAAAAATGTTGGAGGACCTTTCCTTGGGGCCTTCCATTGTTCAGAGGGCAGGGAGACGGGGAAGGGGCAGCAAAGGATACGAGAAGGAGCAGCTACTGAGGAAGGAAGAAAATCAGGAGTGTGGAGGCCTGGAAGCCAAGTGAAGCAAATGGTCAAGGAGAAGGGAGCAGTGAACTATCTCAAATGTGGCCGGCAGGTCAGGTGATGTGAAGGCTGAGAATAAACCGCACGGTTGAGCAGCATGGAGGTCACTGGCGAATATGACAGAAACAGTTTGAGAGGAGTATTTGGGAACAGACACTTGACTCAAGTAGGCTGAGGGGAAATGAGAGGCGAGAAGTTGGAAGAGCAAGTATAGGTAAGCTTTTCAAGGTATTTTACTGCACCAGAAAGTAGAAATTAACAATAGCCTGAGCAGAAGGTGGGGTCAAGAGAGAGGATGGTTTTGTTGTTGTTGTTGTTGTTGTTGTTTTTAAGATGAGAGAAATAATAGTATCTTTGTATGCTGATGGGACTGGTCCCGAAGAGAGGGATGAATTGCTGGAGGAATGACCTTGACCAGGTGAGTGATAATAGGATCCCCTGACCTTGAATAGGAACATGGACAATCAATCATCAGGAAGGAGAGCAGGCAGAAAATAGGTGGGAGCACACTTGCTGGCACGTGAGAGATGTACTGGGGGCTTGTGAAAGTTCTCTCATAATTACTTCTATTTTCTCAGTGACCTAGGAAGCAAAGTCAGCAAGGAGGGTGAGGGAAGAAGTATTGGGGTTATGTAAAGTACATTACTTTTCTGTACATTAGCATCTGTCTTAAGCTCGACGATATGACAAGGTCTGAATCATTAGTCTGGATGAGCTACTGAGCTCATCAAGTTCAGCATGAGCTGAAGGAATAGTCAGAGGGGTTCTGTCTCCCAGCCATGCACAGCCATCATGGGCAGTCATCACACAATCAGACACAATGGCTGCTCTCTGCTAGATACAATAGAAGCCTCTCAAATATTAAAGTCCAGAGCTCCCCAAGGAGAATCCACACCTTAAGTTAGTACCAGCTAGATAATTCAGTAGGGGTTAATTATCAGATAGCTATCTAACTGTGAAGGTCCACTGGGAACAAAGCCACATGGAAATGGGATGTAGATTTTTGGCTCAAATCGTGTTGGTGGAAGGAGAAGAAGAATTTTCATATGAGTTGTCCAGAAATCTAACCATGTTTAGGATGAGGAGATAGGAGTACAAACAGAACAGGATAAAGGGATGTTGAAAAAGAAGGTACAGAGATGAACCTCACCATCTTCACACTTGTGTGTAAGGCTGGACCCAGAACTCCTCCATAGGAACAGACACCTATTATCCAACACTTTGGTTTGCACCCTAGTGTTCTCACTTTAGCAACAAGAAAATATGAAAAATCCTAGAGTAACCTCTATGTAGATACTCCGTATGTTTGGTTTGGAAAGTCTAGCAAACCACATTTTACTATCTCAAAATTCTCTGATTAGACGAGATGGAAAGAAGAAATCAGAGATTAAAAAAAATAATAAGTACCTCTTATTTATTATTATGCACAATATCACAGTGCACTTAAATTTTAATTTCTATTAAAAATTGGGCTCATTGTGGGGCACCTGGGTGGCTCAGTTGGCTGAGCGTCCGGTTTTGGCGCAGGTCATGATCTCATGGTTCGTGGGTTCGAGCCCCGTGTCGGGCTCTGTGCTGACAGCTTAGAGCCTAGAGTCTGTCTTTGGATTCTGTGTCTCCCTCTTTCTCTGACCCTTCCCTACTCACGCTGTCTCTCTCTCTCCCTCAAAAATAACATTTTAAAAAAAAATTGGGCTCATTGTAGCTTAATAGTTTCCAGCCCTAAATTCCTTTGATTCACTTATTACTGGTAAAAGTACAATAAAACGAGGAACTGGCTTTTTCCCTGTGTTAAAAATGATTTATGGCTTTGTACACAAGATCTGTATATGCATAAATAAATGAAACACCTTGTTCAGAAAGTATTAAGAATTTTAAGACCAAGAAAGTAGGCCAGTGAACCAAGTGCAGGGCTTTTGTTAAGTCTGACACCCTTTGCATGCCCATGGAGCTGGCCCTGGAAAAGAGCTGGCCCTGTGACCTAAAGGAATTGGAGTGGCTGAGATTCTCTGTCCTAAATTTTGTGGTCAGGAAGGACCCTGAGAAGTAGCCTCAGGGGGCAAAGAAGTGGCTTAAAATGAGCCCATGAATATCCTCATCTCAATCGCCAGAGAAGTTCCCAGTTTATACAGCCTTTACTTCAACTGGATATTTGGAGGCTTCTAGTCCTCCTCAAGAGCTCGTCCTTTGAACTTGATTTGACCTCAGTACAAAAGTGCCCTTATGATTTGCCCTGGACTCTGCACCCCTAGGAACTCATGGTGCTGAGATTAATCTACCATAAAGCATAGTATGATGCTCTCTCAGCACTTACGGGCTGAAGAATTTTCTCTCTTCTTCAACAAAGGAGCAGAAGGCAATTCAGTTGCTCTCTGCTCATCTGGATAAGCTCTGGATGTCATTTTGTTACACTGCACAGAAGCAGAAGGACAGAACTGATCTGACAGAACAGTTATGAAGTGGAATCCTTTAACTAAGCTGGCAAGAGCCATAAGAAAAACGTACCAAGCAGACAGTACAAATTATAATCAGAGAAATACATTATACATCATGTACTTGAGACTCATGGTTTGACCAAGGGCATAAAAATACATGTGGTATTAGATTGCACAAACTGGATTCCACATTATTATACTACATATGGTTACAGAAGAAATGATCCTTCAGAAACGGGGTTCCCAAATTAATATTTTTTAGTAAATGACACCTTACTAAACTGTGGGCCATCAGTGGGCCCAAGTCCATTATTTTTCTTCATTCTACCAAAATTTCAATACCTAACATATCAATAAAAAGTACAAATAAATACCAGTATCTTATAGACTTATAATAAAATATAGGTTTAATTTGATAGAACTGCATATTTTTTGAGGTTCAAAAAGTCTTACAATAATGAAATGATGTGGCAAGAGGGAAATATTACTTTAGCTCCTGTAGTCATCTCACTGTATTACCATCATTCTACTGTGGATTGTGCATTTGCATATAACATCAGCATCGTTTCAACATAATTTGAAGCTTTATTATTATGCTAAATTTGACTAGTTTTAAAACCTGCTAGCTATTAAAGATTGACAGGAAATTTTTTTCCCCTGAAGAACTGATCATTTGTGTCTTGAAGTAAAATTGTTCC